TAGTATTAAAAATTTAAATTATATTTTATTAAATTAAAATAGTTACAATATATTTTTTTACTTTGAGAATGAACAATATAATTAAACTCAAAATTGACAATATTATAATACATTTTTGAACTCTTTTGGATTTTTTTTTTCCTAATTTTTGATAAAGTTAATTTTAATATTTAAAAGTATTTAACATTTTGAATTCTGAAAGGTTTTCTCTAATAGCAAATTTAAAAACATAATATTCAAAAAAATAGTTAATGTAAGTTTTCATTATGCATAATTGAGAAGATATGATAGCGGTTTCATGTTAACCGCTATCTAAAGTATAATTTAGATAGCGGTTAATGGTTAACTCGCTATTAGAAGTGCAATTTTAAGAGCGGTTCTTGTGGAACCGCTATCTAAAATGTATTTCGCTTGAGCGACAATATTCTCGCTCGAGCGAAACGCCCCCTGCACAAAATTGACATTCTCGGGTTGTATTTCGCTTGAGCGACACTATTCTCGCTCAAGCGAAATACGATTCTGATCGATCATAACTTGAAATGATCGATCATAATTGAGAGGATATAATAGCGGTTCTCTTATAACCGCTATCCGAAGTGTATATTAGATAGCGGTTAAGGCTTATACGATATTCGAAGTGTATTTCGCTTGAGCGAGACTACTCGCTCAGCGTAAATCCGATTCTGATCGATTATATTTTCAAAATGATCGATCATATTTGATAATTTTTTCAAATAATTAATTATAATCGATTAGTTTTCTAAATTATTGATTATAATTGATTAGTTTTTCAAATAATAGATTAGAATTGATTAATTTCTAAATATATACTAAAAAATTATAATTAAAACTATAAATTAGTTAAGAATATTGACTATTGTAAAGATAAAGTAGAACATGGGAGGAGATGAGGATGATAATATAATGATAGAACTTACAAAAATGTAGAATTGAGAAGTTTGAAACAAATAAAATTAAGAAAATAGATATTTAATTACACTTTTAATAAATTTAAGATAATACTAGTTTTGATTTTTATTTTTAAATATTTATTTTAATTATTTAAAACAGAGAAACTATAATTTTAGTTTCTAACTACTGAATTTAAAGAATTAAATTTATTATTATTTAATCTTTTAATTTTAGTATAAAATTTTAAATTATATTTTATTAAATTAAAATAATTACAATATATTTTTCTACTTTGAGAATGAACAATATAATTAAACTCAAAATTGACAATATTATAATATATTTTTGAACTCTTTTGGATTAATTTTTTTTTCCTAATTTTTGATAAAGTTAATTTTAATATTTAAAAGTATTTAACATTTTGATATAATGAGCATGATAATATAATGATAGAATTTACAAAAATGTAGAATTGAGAAGTTTAAATTTTTTTTTAAGAAAATAGAGATTTAATTATATTTTTAATAAATTTAAGATAATACTAGTTTTTAAACCTTTTTCTAATATTTGTTTTTAAAAATATAATATCATTTTTAATATTTTATAGATTTTATATTTATATATTTATAAAAGTAATTGGATTAAATTTATTATCCTCTCATATATTATTATACATTTAACGTAATTTTAGTTTATTTAAAAATTAGAATACAAATATACTATACCAATATACCATTATATTATTTTCATTGTATATAAATTACAAAATTAATAATTTGTATACTATACTATACTAACATATTATTTGTATACTATACTAATAGTATAATATACTATATTATAATATTATTTGTATACAAAACTAATATCTTTATATATAAATATATAAATATGGAAAGATATAAATATATGTAAAAATATAAACATATAAATATATATAAATATGTAAAGATATAAACATATATCTTTAATATTTTGTAAATGTAAATATAATTTATATATATTTTTAAATCTTTTTCTAATATTTATTTTTAAAAATATAATATTATTTTTAAAATTTAATATTTTTTTTTCAAATATATAAATATATAAAGATATAAATGTATAAGGATATAAATAAATATATAAATATATCAATATATAAATATATCAAAATATAAAAATATAAAAATATAAAAATATAAATATATTAATATATAAATATATCAATATATAAATATATATAAATATATATATATATATATACAAATATATCAATATATCAATATTATCCCCTCATATATTAATATACATTATGCTATATAAATATATCAATATATAAATATATCAATATTTAAATATATATTAAAATATATAAATATATTTTTATTTATAGATTTTATATTTATATATTTATACGTATATACATTTATTTGTATATAAATATAATTTATTTGTAAGTTATTATTAAAAGATCCTAAGTAGCTCAGTGGTTGGAGTTTCAACTCTCCAACTCTAAGGTACCGGTTCGAATCCCGACAATGACAATAAACCACCTAATAATAAGTTAAACTAAATAAATATAAATAAAAACTTAAATAAGCAAAATATAATATAATTAAGAGATAGGGAAAATAAATAATAGATATAATAAAAATGTAAACAAATAAGAATAATTATATATAATCGGTCACTCGATTCCAGTTGGTCACTATCTTAATTAGTAACCGATTTTGCACATTTAGTGACCGAATTTTCGGTCACTATTTGGTGTTTTTCTTGTAGTGATCTCCTTCAACAATTCCAAAAATTCAGGTAAAACTTTTATCAGTTCATTCATCTCTTACTTTTAAACTAAACAATCTTAAAGTTAATGATAATCTTGTAAAACTGCATCCTAGGTCCAATTGTTGCTTAAAGTCAAATTTCAAATAATCATATAGATGTGTTTTCTTAAAAAAAATCACCAATATCATGTACCATATCCTCTAAATTATCATTCATCTTTTTTTCAAAACTTTCTGTTGCTAACATAGCTGAGATGTCTAATATTTTTCTTTGTCACGTCGATATTGTATAATTCTTAACAATATCATAGACAAACAAATGATTATGTATATCCCCAAGTTCATGACAAATTTGATTTAAACAATGAACGCATGAACAATAATATGTCTCTTTGATAGTTTCCATTTCCACAAACAAATTTCAAAAATTCTTCAACTCCCTTTTTATATTCTTCACTAATACAACGTACATTTATCTAACTTCGATCCACGTCTACTTATATTATAAATTTTTCGTCACCTCTAAAGATTCAACACAAATTCATATTTAAAAAAATATATAATATACAAAAAACGTGGGATTCAAACAACTAAATCGTGAAAACATAAAAATGCATTTTATAAACCGTAAATGCACTCAAACGAATAAACGGATAATCACAAACTACAACAATTCGAATTCAATAACAATCTAGTGGAAACATTTATACAATAACATAATTGAGATCTTTATAAACAAGTCACATATTCAATTTGAACATAAAAGAAAAGATACAGAATATTAACCTCAAATATAAATAAAAAATATTATAAAACTCGGATTAAATCAAAGAGAAACATCAATAAACGAAATACAATATAAGTATTTTTATCGCTCATCATATTGAGACTATATCCTAAAAATAGTTGAAATGATTGTTGTTGTCACTAGAAGATTCTTATGCACGAGAAAAAAAATCTTAAATAAAAATAAAATGTGACATTTAGATAGGTGTCTACCAAATTTTACTTAAAAAATTATCAATTATTTATAAAGATGTTATGGTCAAATATTTTTTTATTAGAAAAAAAAGTGACGTAAACAACTCTAATGAAACTCTTGAATCTCCAAGTATTATCAGTGAACTTTAGCCCAAATAATTATGTAGCGTTTGTAATCTTTTCAAAACGTTCTTATAAAGTGAAAAAATAAATTAATTGATAGATTCTTAAATTATTTAAAATTGTGTTTAACTAACTTATTTCTAAATTTTAAACAAATGAAGTTGAATCCTTAATTTAAAAAAAAATGTAATTGGGTCTTTAGAACTAGTTCATAACAAGAATATCTTAGAAAATAGCAATTTGATTAACATAAAAATTATGTTAATTGATTTTTATTTATTTAGCAAGCTCCCATATGTATTTTCGGTTACTTTTAGCTAACGAGAAAGAATAAGTTATTCAAACTTTGCTTTTATCCATTCAATGTTACATTTATGACTATGTTTCTCTCAATTATACACTTCATTTTAAATTAAAATTAAAAATAACATTTGAAATTGAATTAAGTTAATTAAAAGTTTTGTTATCATAAATAAATTGATTAAAATATATATATATATAACTTGCATTATTTACTTAGTGTTTGTTATCATTTAGTTTTCTTACAGGGGGATGAAATATTATATATGAAATAGATATTGTATATTATTAATATAATTATGACTCGAATTTAAAAATGTAGACGTAGTTTCATATAAAATTGAATAATATATATAAAGTAAAATTATGTTTTATCAAATTACATTAAGTCTTTTTATATGGATTTACTCAAATTTATTAGTTCATTAAAGATAATCAACATAATTAAATACCTTATCTAATTGAACTAATTGAAATCTTTAGGGCACTTTACCACTCATAAACTCAATTGAAGAAATAAATAATTGTGAAATAATTTACTCTTCATTGATTGTGAATTTCCATTTAAACCTCAATGTAATTTTATGTCTTTAATCTTTAACTTTTCTTTTGAATTTATAATTTCTTGATTGTGATTTTCATCGAATTCTTGGAGTTATCTTTAAAGAATCCTTATCTACCAAAGCTAAGAGGATCTATAAGATTTTTCATTTAAAAAAAAAAATTAGGGTAAATGTTTTTTTTTTGGGCTTTGAAATTGCACCAAATCAACCTTTTATTACTCATGAGCACACATTTTTAGCAGAAATAAACAACCACTGGTTCAACAATCACATTCTCAACATGTTGATGCAAGAAATTAAAGTACTTTAACATGAGAAGATTAAAAAACATTTATTTGATAAGTAGACTCTTGAGTCAAATCCTAAAATGCATCAGAGGAGGAGTACGATTGGCACATTTTTTGTAGTGAGCTTCAAACTCTGGAATTGAAAATTCTCTGAATTTTGCAGGATTGTCTTCAGATACTAGTTGCTTAAGGGGACCATAAATCCTTGGATTTGGATGAGAACCTGTGCTAAAAAAGCTTGCAATAGAGACTCTTGGACCTTCACGGTTGGCAAGTACTCTATGTTGAGCACTCTTGAATTTGTCATTTGAGACAATCTGGTATTCAACAATTTTGTAAATTAGTCATGTTAACCAGGGATTACATTGAGTAAGATAAGAGAAACCATAGAAAATTGAACAAATCTTTTAATGTCCATTTGAAGAAGAAGAAAGAGTGCAAAGACATACCTGCATAAAATCACCAATGTTAACAACAAGAGCCTCAGGTACAGGGGGTATATCAATCCACGTGTCCTCATGAAGAACTTGGAGGCCACCTATTTGGTTTTGTAGAAGAACCGTGATGAAATTAACATCAGCATGCTTTGTGATTCCCAAAGTTAATTCTGGTTCAGGACAGGGTGGATAGTAATGGCCAACAACGTGAAGGCCCTCATTGCAACCAATATCATCTAAGTAAGTTGGAGCCAAACCAAGAGCTTCTGATAATAATTCAAACAATAAACTTCCCAATTTCGACACTTGATTTGAGTACTCCAAAAGTATGTCCCTATAAACAAATGAAGTAAGCAGGTATTCACATCAGGCCATAAAGGAACACCGAATCAAACATTGTGAAACCTCAATCATCATAAAGTTTTTCACTTTTTCATCATATTTCATCTTAAATATATCACTTAGAACTGTCATTCTAGCTTCAATTTTATCTGATGTAAGTTCTTAGGTTGTCTCTGCATTTTTGCTAGAATACTTCAAACCAGGGAAGAAAACATCACAAAATTAGTTAACATAATTTAGTCCAACATGCCTGCATCAAATTAGAAGCTAAATAATAATCAAATTAGGAATATAGATCAAACCCAACATGTCATTACTACAAACATTGAAAGAGAAATCAAATTTAAAACACACACCTGCATACAGATGGTAAGTCTTCAGGTCTAGGGGCATTAGGACTAAATTTGCACACGAAAGTGTCTTTCCAATTAGTTGGAGCTTTGGAATATAAATTATAATTGCTATTATAGATAAAGGGTTTATTTTCACGAGTATACAAATTCTTCTTGACCTCAGAATCTTGCTCAAAAAACCTTACCACCCCATCTATCATATCTTTCAGAGTACTCACAGGGATGCCATGGTTCACAATCTGAAAGAAACCCCATGTCTCTGATGCTTCTTTGACTCTCTCAACCACCCTTTTGCGTTCACTACCATCTTCACCAATTCTTCCAAGGTCTATAACAGGAATAATGTAATCTTTATCGCCTATCCTTTTGAAATTATCACGGGGGTGATGGAATATGCGAGGGATCTTGGCAATGCCTTCATCAACAAGTCCTTTCACACCTTGTTTTGTGTCATCAAAAGCTTTGAGCTCCTCTAATTTTTTGGGTTCTTCCATGAATATCTCTTTCTTTCCACTTGTGCTAGAGAACACCATTTTCCTTCTTGTTAAAAAGACCTTAAACTTCAATACAAACTGTTGTCTTCAAACTGCAAAATACAAGATCATCATCGGTGAGAGAAAGACGTGTAAGGAGCGTCTACAATTGAAAACCAAAATGTGAAGTGTTTCACTTTGGTTACTTTGATAAAAGAAAGACACACTAAACGAACCCACACAGAGCAGAATCATTACCCACTGCATGGTGACTTTGCTTTGTAATTTCTCCAAAAATGATACAAGTTTTGTGATTATTCCCTCAAAAAATTAAATGTAAATTAGTTTTACTAAACTAAAATAAACTCAAGGCAGCAATTAATTATTTTGATTAAGAGCAAGAAAGAACAACAATGATAGCACCCAATTAACCCCTATCAGTTCCGTAATAGAATTCAATAAAAGTTTGGTTAGAGATTGATTACCTGAGACTCCCTCTTTCACGATTGTAGTCACAATTGAGAAAAATGAGAAGAAGGGTGCTTTTATATTGAGATTTCAAGTGAGAAGATAATAATAATTAGGACAAGTTGCAGACATGAACAATATTTCTGCTGTACTTGGATAAGGATATGCAACATTCAACTTTTTGCTGCAGTATCTACTGATTAAAAACGGACATCCAAATATGTTTTTTTCTTTACTATGATACAAATCATCAACAGCACACATGGTGCATGGCTGCAACGTGTGCATTGCTTGTACTAAGCAACAACAGCAAAAACATTATTGTCACTCACAATAATATATTTTGAATGTACTACGAATTACTAAGCAATTCAAAAGAGTTTCTTTCTTCTTTGAATGACATATGTACATTCTTTGTACACGTATATAAAACAATACTTTACATCAATATTTTTATTTCCTCCCACAGCTTGATTGAAAACCTAACAACGCTCACTTCATAACACACGAGAAATAAACATTCTTTTGGTAGATATGTTGGAAGTTCCACAATTTATTGCACTTTTATTTCATAAATACTCTCTTTAATATCAAAGTGCTGGTAAAATCCTGAAATGTAACAGAGGAGAAGTACGATTCAAACATTTTTTTGAAGTGAGCTAAAAACTCCGGAATTATAAATTTTCTGTATCTTGCAGAATTGTCTGAAGATAAGATCTTTGACGGGACCATAAATCTTTGAATTTGGATGAAAACTTGTGCTTAAAAGGCATGGACTATCTTAGACCAGTACAAGATCATCAATGGTTATTGAAACATACTGTAAAGAATCAGCATCTACAACATAAAATCAAAAGGTGGAAATTTTCAGAGTTTAGCACACCAATGCAACATACAAAATTGTATGAAAATTCTGAGAACACACAGCCATTAATTGTATAATATTTACTACAAGTAAAAGGATACAATCCTTAAGTATTCTAATTCTTTCATTACACGGTACACAGTGAGTAATGTTTAAAGCGATAAATTATTTTTATCAGCTTTAAATTTATGATGCCTACCGACAACTCTAGTTTAACGTTGATTTATTGCCTAATAACAGCATAAAACACACGTAAACTGTTTAATTATATTCAACCTTTAACAGTGATATTTTATCATGTTTGGTTGGTATTATTTTGATAAGCCTCTATACAGTGAAATTAATATAACTCTTTCTCTCTGTGTGCAAACACAATAAAGGCAGTCTCATCTTCAAGCTTGGTTCTGAAGACTGCATAAAAATTAATAAAAATGCATGTGATCCCCAAGTAAAAAGCAATAACTAAATCAAATTCATGTAATCCAGAAAGCTTATGCATTATGGACTAGACTCCACAATACAGTTCAACATGGTCATTGGATATGGTCCCGTGTTCCACTCTCTGTGTGTGAGTGTGTTTTTGCAGTATTTTGTTTTCTTCTCGTACAAGCATGCATTTGTTTAAGACTTTATGCTTAACCTGCTTCCTGCATTGGTATGTTAAACTCTTATTCTTAACTTCACCTTCTGTTCCTTCTGTGTTATACAATTTTTCTTTAGATCTTTCACTCGTTGATTTTGTATTGCTGTGCTGATAATTCAGGACAACAATATCTCGCATCGATGTTTCAGGCCTTAATGGGGATTATGTAACAATCATAAGGCTAAGAAGGCAACCATCCTCAAAACTAGCTCAAGAGGTTAGAGAACCTCCCACCTTATAAAGTATTCAGGTAAACAGACCTCTTAAGGTGGGACTTGTTACAATATCACCCTATCGAAAACCAGCGTTCTCGATGGCTGCCCTCGGCGGTATTTCACTCACCGTCGCTTCATTAATCGGCACTTCTTACTGTCAAAATCTCTGATGTTCAGAATCCTTCGGCGGTCAGAACCCAACCTTTCGCTGGCTCTCAATGAAATCATAATTGTAACAAACATAAGACTAAGAGAGAATCATCTCTCAAAAGCTAGCTCAAGAATTTCGAGTAACTCTCACCTTATAAGGCATCCCTGTTAAGAGACCTCTTGTTACAGATTACTAGTGCAAGTGAAAAGGAAGAGAGTTTCATGCATGATTCAGAGAGAGCAAAGGAGCTCAAAGCTTTTCATGACACAAAACTTGGTGTGAAAGGACTTGTTGATGCAAGAGTACCAAGATCCCTCGCATATTATATTCCCCTGATAGTTCCAAGAGGGTCTCAGATTTAGGCCATAAAGATTACACTATTCCTTGGAAGCATTGATGAAGATCCAACTGAACGCAAAAGGGTGATTGAGAGAGTGAAAGAAAACATCAAAGATTTGAGGTTTCTTTCAGATTGTGAATCATGGCATCCAGAGATTAATCTAAAGGAGATGATATATGGGAGCTAAGGATTGAATTCTAAGTGAAAAAATATATAATATAGATAAAAACATAAATGATATAATATATAATAATATTTTAATTTTATAAATATATTAAAAATTTTAAAATGTACCTCCATAATTAAAAAGAAAAATTTTTTGCATAAAAAACATAAATGATTGATGCATGAGAATTAAGAAGACAATTTATTCAAAGTCTTACAAATGAATGTTATATTTTTATTTTTGAAATAAGTAAATTCTCTAGTTAATATATATGTATATATATATATATATATAGCAAATTTGTTTTATTGAGAAAAAATATTACGGATAAAAATATATAAGACTATATTTAAATTGTTAAAATCTTAAAAAAATAAACAAGATGATAAACATAGAATATACGATTACAAATACCGTATCATGCCATGATTCTACATGATTATTTTTTTCCATATTTAGCTTGGCATGACAGCGATGCACATTAATTTCATATCTGTTAATAGACAAATTTAGGATACCGACTATAATGGTTAGCGTAATTATAGCCTAGAATGTTTCTGTATTTCATGTATATATTGTGCTATCATATTCAATACAAGGCAGGGGTTTTCGGAAATATTTTTATCATGGTATCGGAGCGAACCAAACTCGATATCCAACGGCTCGAGAACACAGATCGTACTTCTAAAATGGCAGAGAAAGGAGAGGCGGTGAAGAAAACACCATCGCCATACGATCCGAGTGTCGTTGATAATCCCGGAAATGTAATTACACGAGTACAATTACGAGGAGAGAATTACGAGGAATGGGCAAGGGCCGTGAAGATATCTCTGCGGGCTCGAAGGAAATGGGGTTTCATAGATGGAACTCATAAGGAACCCGAAGAAGACACATCCGAGATAAAAGATTGGTGGACAATTCAATCGATGCTTGTATCTTGGATACTAAACACTATAGAACCTAGTTTGCGTTCCACCGTTGCATACATGGAAAACGCAAAGGACCTATGGGATGACATCAAGGAACGATTCTCGATCGTGAACGGACCAAGAATCCAGCAGACTAAAGTCGAGTTGGCGTAATGCAAACAACAAGGAATGACTATGGTTTCCTATTATGGGAAGTTGAAAACGTTGTGGGATGAACCGGCAAATTACGAGCAAATCCCACAAGTGTAGATGTGGGGGATGCAATTGTAATATTATGACGCAACTTGAGAAACGAAGAGAAAAAGAAAAATTCATCGGTTCTTGATAGGGCTAGATGATGAGGGCTATGGAACTGCACGGTCAAATGTTTTGGCAACAGATCCATTACCCTCGTTGAATCGGGTGTATGCCACCATGGTGCAAGAAGAAAGGGTGAGAACAATCACCGGGTCTAAAGAAGAGCGAGGAATGATCGTGGGAATGGCTATGCGAGCGGAAACCGGGAACAAGTTGCGCAATGAAGCGAAAGAAAAATCAGCTTGTTTGCATGCAGTGTGGAAGGAAGGGACATGACAAAGGCAATTGCTTCGAGATCATTGGTTACCCGGAATGGTGGGGAGAGAGACCACGAACCGATAGAAACGATGAAAAAAATCAACAAAGAACAGGAACCTTCCGAGGGAAAGGAGGAACGACTCGCGTCAATATGGCGCACACTCGGTGCGGATAACGTTGGTTCAACCGAAAAACCGAAGTAGCAGGACCGAGTAATGAGCAATGGCGAGATCTTGACAACGAATGTTGAATTCTCGCAAGGCAAATGAAACCGAAAAGATGACTCGGTAAGAAAACATGTGACTTGTGGATTATTGATAGTGGCGCCTCTAATCATATGACAGGAACACTAGAAAACTTGAGGGAGAGTCAAGCCTTGGAAGGGTGCCCGAGTGGGACTACCAAATGGTGAATTGGTGCTGGCAAACAAAGAAGGATCAGTTTTCCTTGATGGAGGATCGAAACTTAAACATGTTCTATATGTTCGAAATTGAATTGCAATTTGATTTCGGTCTCACAATTGATCGAATGAAGTAAAATGTACAAGTACATTTTATCGATAGATTTTGTGCAATGCAGGACCACACTTCGAGGATGCCGATTGGAGCGGGTGAACGAAAAGAGGGACTCTATTGGTATCGTGGTGTGAGTGGCATAAAGGCGTATCGGACCAATGCGTAAAATCAACTAGAGATTTGGCACAAGCGAATGGGACATCCCGCCTACCGCATTGTTAGAAAAATTCCGCATCCGAACAGACGTGAATAGAAATACGGATACAACTCGGGTGTATGAAGTGTGTGAGAGATCAAAGCAATGTAGAAACACATTTCCTTTAAGTGATTTTCAAGCATCCAATATATTTGATTTAATACATTGTGATTTATGGGGTCCATATAGAACTCCCTCGTCTTGTGGTGCATCTTACTTTCTCACTTTGGTTGATGACTGTTCTCGAGCTGTGTGGATATATCTCTTGAATAATAAGCAAGATGTGTCACAAACCTTAAAGCATTTCATCGCTTTAATAGAACGACAATACGAGAAACAAGTCAAAATATTACGAAGTGACAATGGAACCGAGTTTATGTGTCTTCAACGATATTTTCAACGAACATGGGATACTCCATCAAACCTCATGCACTGGAACACCTCAGCAAAATGGGAGAGCCGAACGAAAACATCGACACATCCTAAATGTAGCTCGTGCTTTACGATTTCAGGGAGAACTTCCACTTCAATTCTGGGGAGAATATATTTTGACCGCAGGATACTTGATCAATCGTACACAAGAGTTCAATAAGTGGTCACGTTATCGTTAATTTTAATTTTTGATTGATTAGACTTGACTACTACTCTTTGCGGTGACTTCTTTTATCTGCAATTATGTTTGATTTATGATGAATGGAATGGTCGACAGAGATCTACTCCAAGGCAATGTAGCAATGGCGGTAGGTGATATACATTGAATTCTAAGCAAATACTTCCATTATTTTTATTATAAAATACATTTAAAAATAATTTTTTATCTTTCTTATAATTCATTAAGTAATGTGGCTTTTTATAATTTATTTTAATATATAAATAAATCATTAACAAAAGATTTATTTGATATATTAATAATAATTAAAAAAATCAACTAAATTAATTATTTATTAATATTTATTTACATAATTATATTAAAAGTTTATTATACTAAGGATAAAAGATAGTGAATTGAAAAGGTATCTCTAACACAATTAAATTAACATTGCTTGCTTAACACCCTCAACTTCCTTTAAATTATTCCAAATCTTACAGACATAATAATAATAATATCCCATTTAATAATATTCAGCTTAACCAAATTGACCATCTTTCTCTCTCTCAAAAATATTATATTTCATTTCGAGTTCCTTGTTTCACTCTCTTTCTCCATAGTCTTCCCCGTCATTCTCTCTCCGAGCTTCACTCTCTCCACCTCTGCAAAAGAGAGAAAAAATGGGGTTTGCCTCCTTTCTGGGTCGCGTTCTCTTTGCCTCCCTCTTCATTCTCTCCGCATGGCAGTTGTAAGTCACCCTTTTCGCAGATCTATCGGATTCGTATAAATGACTTCACTTTCCACTTTGTTTTCGGTTTTTGGATGTGGATTTTGATATTTCCACTTTGTTTTCGAGTTTTGGATGTGGGTGTTTGTTTTCTCGCCTTGGTTTCGAGGATTGAATGTAAAGTGTGTGCCTTTTTAGGATTTGGAGACGCATTTTGAGTCCTTTTTATGGAAGCCATCATACATTGATTAATGATTGGATTTTGCTTTCTATTTTAATAAATGGAGTTTTTGAATTGCTAGAATGTAAGTCATATTGTTGTGGATTGTTTATTGTTAATTGTCTTTTGAGCAAGGGTTTAAGAAACGGTTTGTGACCGCAATTTTGGCGCAAGATTATGTTTTTGGAGTCTCTGTGATTGCAATTGTGACTGCATAAGCACTATTTGATAGCAATATCAAAGGTCGCGTTAAGACCTTGCTTTTGAGTCCGGTCTCATGTTGATCTTTAAAGTGGTTTTGAATATCTGTGAGAATCAATTTCCTGTGAAATCTTGAGTTGCATAGGTTTTAAGCTGTTTTTTCTTTAAGTTACTCATTTTGATTCGTTGAGGATTTTCATCTAATCAGATGCTATCATTAAAGTATAGAGGCTAAGCTTATAGATCTACTTATGGAGCCAGTTTTATGTGTCAGGAAACTTTAGGTTTAGTTTATAAATGAATCTAGTAATGAAAACCAAGATAAATCCCATTGTTTCCTTTACTGGCTAAAACCCCTCTAATGAAAAACAAGATATATCCCATTGTTTCACATGCTGCAGATCCTACACCAAACACCAATATTAACTTGTTAATTGAAATCTAATTTGATTTTATTTTAATTTTCAACTTCCCTAGAGGTGCATCGCTGCGTTATGATATGTTAAATTTTTTTTTACCTATGTTGTATACCTCGTTTAAAAGAAATAGCAAACAAAATGTTGGGTACCTTAAGAAATTTGGGTTTGCTAATGTACTACTGCTTTGTGCAACAGAATTTCTTATATTGCAAGTTTTAGTACCTATGTGTTGACATAACGTTTATTTTGCAAGGTTTAATGAATTTGATCCCAGTGGTGGACCCGTTTCCAAGGAGTTGATTCCCAAGCTCACTGTTGTGAAGAAAAATTTGTCCTCCAAATTGGGGGTAGCACTACCAGATATTGATGTAAGGCCATGTTTTTATCTCACTATCCTTCTAGTTGAATAGATTTCATTAATTAGTTCCCTTTCTGATTGAAATACTAAATACAGGCCCGGCAATTCATTGCTACTATCATATTTCTCAAGGGGGTTGGTGGGATTTTGTTTGTGTTTGGCAGCACAGTTGGATCTTTTCTATTGGTAAGCGCTTGGTCTCTTAGTTTGAATTGTGAAGAAGTTTCTATTCTTAATCTTAAGTGTGCTTTAAAGCTCTTGCCATTGTGCTTCAAATGAATCATAAATCCAGATTTATTTATTTTTTCTATTTTCTAGCTTCTGCACTTAATGTCTTATTATTGTTAATGCTGTTGTAGCTTTTGCATTTGGCTCTTACTACACCACTTCTGTACGATTTCTACAACTATAGACCCGGCAAGCCTAAGTATAATCAGCTGCTGAACGAATTCATGCTGGTTTGTCTAAATCTTCTTTGACTTTATATCTTGCTAATTGATGGTTTCATTTGTGATAACTTGATATATACTGTTATGGTTACCTTTGATGGCAGAACACAGCACTTTTTGGGGCATTGCTATTCTTTATTGGAATGAAGAACTCAATTCCCAGGAGTCAGCTCAGGAAGAAGACCCCTAAAGCTAAGACTGTTTAGAAAAATAGAGCAAAAGAAGCATTAGTGTACCAGAATGCCTAGTTTCGACATTCAGTATTTGATCTTCAGCGGAGTTTGGAATAGTTACTTAGACTTTATTAACATTATTTTGTTTATTTGTCAGATGGACCATATTTTGATTATCGGTATGCATCCCCTTTTACTTGCATTTCTATTCTGCTTGCAGCAAAGAAATTAAGCTAAGATATGGTCAGATTTGATGATCAACACTTTATGAGAAAATGGATTTCCTTGTTGGGAGCAGAGTGAAAATTCTTACTAATATCACCTCATGTTGTTTGATTCGGCATAAATCAAACTTGATGTCAAAGATAAACTTGAATGAATAAATTGTAATGCTGTGGAGAAAATTGATTTTGGATATCTGGACAACAAAATATTGGTCTAGTTTGTGGTGGTAAAATTTGCTTCCAATTTACCTTCGATGTAAAATTTATTCTGAGAATTTGGTAGCAAAATCTTATCTCAACTGAAGCTACTGAGGAATTAAAATGAGATGTTTCTACCTGTGAAGTAAAACTGAATCCCCAGGAAGTGTTGTTGGATCATCATGTAAGTAGGTGTCATGTCGATGGAGAAAGTGGTGGTGTTAAGATAGATGCCACCTACCTACCCATTTATTCATTTAGTCCTTTTTATGGAACAACATAAATTGGGCTCTTGAGGCCACGTACAATACATTCATTCAGTCAAGAATGAATCAAAGATTGATCATTTTTATTCATGATGCTGTAAAAGAAAAGAAAAGGTAACAAGAATAATAACTAGCTTTTGTACTAAGAAAATTTTTCCTCGCCAAAGTCAATACAAACATTAAGTATGATACAGTGGATTGGCTCCATAGAATCTCAGCTTTTAGAGAAATTATCATAGGGATTAGATTTATCTTAGTGTTGAAAAATCTAAACTTGATGTAAAATCAAGTTTTATAAAAAGAAAAATATGAATGTGTTACAAAATCATAAATATATAATTTCAGAGCATCGTGTAATAATTTGTCTAATTTTTAATATTAACATCTCTAGACATAAATTAGCAATTGCTGCTGACAAACTAATTAGGTACAATGGTTTATCCTTCACATGGATTCCCTGTTACAAGTAGAGATGCCAAAATTTTAATCAAGTACAATTATAGATCACAAGATTCCCCTACCCTTCTCATGTGACCAAGTAAAAAGATCAACAGGCCTTAATCAAAATACAAGGATGGAAAGTGGATGTGGAAAAATAGAAGTGGTCCTTTGTCGGAGAGCTTATGCAGAAAAATTTCTTTCTTTCTGCAGGTGGTGGCAGAATTATTTCATCCAATTCAATTATTTAGATGGAAGATGAGTGTATGTTATATCTGACATTATATTTCTTTGCAGTCTTAGATTCAATGGAGTGTAAGCAGAACTTTCATATATTCACGAGAAAGAAAGAAAGAAACAATTCAATAAAGAATAAATAAAATTTCCACATAAATCCAATGCAGGTAAGAAGAACTATTTCTCAAACCAACCACGCACATAAAAAAAGGCTCTAACAGTATGTTAATATTGCTCTAATATAAACGATGAAGGTTAAATTCTTTGTGAATGCATAGCAACGAAGGTTAGACTTTTTGTTTCTTTTATAAATAATCATTTTGGTGTATACAAGTTCAAAAAAAAATATTTATTCTTCACATCTTTCACACATTGAAGATATTACAAAACAATGAATTCATGATATATTCTTCAAATCTTGGAAACAAAGGATTTAGGTGCTAAACCCAAAACATCACACACTTCAGGGTACAAACTCCTCCTGATTTCGGCGTAAGCCTCCCCAACCCACTCCTTTCGTGCCAACTCCTCCCCCAGGCGCATCGCAGCCTCCGCGGTACTCTCCGCGCTATCGTGCGCCGACCGCACAATCCCCATCTCCACCGCCTCCTCTGCCCTCACCTTTCTACCCGCGAGCACTAGGTCACGCGCCGCCGCGACCTTCGCCCTCATGATGGCTGCGAAGTAGTCGGGGAGCGTGATGCCGAGGTCCAACTCCGGCATGTAGAGGACGCCGCGGTCGCCGCGCATGAGGACGTAGTCGTGCGCGAGAGCGAGAACGGCGCCTGCGGCGGCGGCGTGGCCAGTGACGGCGGCGACAGTGGGAATGGGGAGGGAAAGGAGCACGGCGATGACGGGGCGGAGGGAATCGGACATGCAGCGGAGGCGGAGGCGGGCAACGTGGGGGTCAGCGGCGGCACGCGCCCAGCTGAAGTCGAAGCCGTTGCAGAAGAATCTGCCCTGCGCAGTGGTGACGAGGGCGGTGGCAGCGGTGGCTTGGGACTTGACTTGGGAGAGGGCGGCGAGGAGGGAGGAGAGGAGTGTGGGGTTGAGCCGGTGTTGTTCATCGTCTTCGCTGGTCAGGGTTAGAACGAAGAGTGGTCCTCTTTTCTCCAACGTGCACATCGTGCTACGTGTGAGTGCGTGTGGATGTTGCAGTCATAAAGTTTTTTAGTTTATAAAATGTCTTAACCATTTTTGTAATATACAATTATTTTTCTTACTTCTATCTTGCTTTATCCTTTACATCATGGAGACCCAAAAACAAAACAATTTTGATGCATTATACGACTTTAAAATGATCCATTTAAATTATTATAAAGAAAAAAATAAATTTTGGAAACATAACTAATAATATATTATTTATAATTAGTTACAAAAATAAAAAGTTAATGTTAGAAATAAAATGAAAAACGTTTCAGATCTGAAGTCTATCCCGCTTCCCCAAACGTGCCAGCAATTAATTTAATTTTTTTACCCTTGGTGTCATATTGTTTACAACAGTAACGTTAAATGTTTATTGATAATTAATATTGCATTAAACTCTTGTTGTTTTTACCACAACTTACTATCCCCATGTACACAATTCATTCCTTGATTTTATTTTTTGGTAATTTATTTTTATTTACATGTATTTCCAGTTCTTGAAAATAAGACAATGTTTTCTCTTAATCCCTTCAAATATATTATCACCTTTTTTATTGAAATGTATCTATTTATATAAATGAGGAACAACTAAAATTCCTTTTTATACAAAGCACAAAGATCACATTTGACGTAAATGAAAGAATTTTTTTAAATCGATTAAAAAATAAAATAAAGTCCTTTGATTTGTATTTTTCTCAAATTAAAATTCACTTATTTTATAAAAATTTAAAATATAGTTATGCCTATTGTAGATTTATAATATTAATTGTTTTCGTTGAGACTCATTAATTAATACATAAACCTAATACTTAAAATGCTCCTTAAAAACGTGAATTATCAGCGCCAAAAGTGTAAAACAATTTCGCGCCACTGAAACACCCGCGCTTCCTTCACCCGTATAAATAAAACCATCTCTCAACTCTCACCGCCGTTTTCTCTTCTTCGTATCAGTTTCTTTCTTTCTTTCATTTTCTTATTATTTTGCTATCTATGGCTGAAGAAGAACCTTCCATAACATCGCCACCGGCAGGGACGTTGCACAAGTTTCTCTCCCGCAGTGGCAAGGCCGTCCTCGCCGCGACGCCTCTCACAGTGGTCCGCTCCACCACCAGCACCGGCGGCGCTCGCGTTCTTGCCGCGCCGCCAAAGCTTAACGAGAATGATCCTCCGCAAGAAGAAGGACAAGGCGAAACCGGCTTCGATGTTTCTCATTTCACTTCACCGAACAAAACGCAACAACGGCGCCATGGACTTTCGTTCGAGGAGTTTCTCAAGGTCACGAACACTAAGGTCGCGTCCAAAGAAGAGGCTATAAGATCGATGGCGCCGATGGAAGAAAAAGTAGAAGAGGAGGAGGAAGGAGAAGAGGTCGAATCAACTCCACCGGTTCAACCGGTGCAGAGAGAGTGGGAACCAGTTAAACCGGTGCAGAGAAAAGTGGTTACGGATGACGTGGAGATGGTGGAAGTGCGCAAGGCTGTGCAGAAAAGGTATATTCCGAATCTCGAGGACGGGGAGTTTCCGGAGGATGCTGAATGGTTCTTGCTTGGGAGGAAGGTTGAGGTTGCGGTTTCGACGGCCAGAGGAGTGAACAGATTGGTGGATAATGAAATCATTCATTTCAACTTTCCTCTTCTGACTTACTCGAGGAAGTCCCAGTTGATCGTTCGTGTTTCAACCAAGCGTTCAGGGGAGGTAGTTATTGTCAATTATTGTCGTTGAGATTGTTTATGACTTGGTGCTCGAGACTTAATCAATTGTGTTGTATGTTTGTAACTGTGTATATGTATGTGTTTATACGTGTGTACATGTGTGAATGTATGCATGTATATGTGTGCATGTGTGTCTTAGTATATATTCATGCGTGTATGTTTAAATATATATATATGTGTGTGTGTGTGTGTGTGTGTGTGTGTGTGTGTGCGCTTGTATTTGTATACATATGTGCGTAGGTATCTATATGGGTGTTTGTGTATATATATGGTATGTATGCATGTATACACGGGTGTGAGTGCTCCTTGAGTCGAACATTTAGTCTCTTTAACACTACTAACCAATGCTTAGATACTAATATTGTGTCTAAAGTGATTGAAGAATGATTAACAGTGTATGTGTGTGTGTGTATGTATATACATGTGTGTGTGTAATGTGTAGTGTACTATACATGTAAATATGGTGGCTATGTGTGTGAATGAATGTGTATGTACGCAGGTTATGAAGGTTAGGTCCATGTAAAAGGGATACTTATAGTTTGATGAACTAATGCTTGAATATTTGCTCAGTAAGGCATCTGTTGATGTTTCTGATTGAATATACTTGTGGAATACAACAAATAATATGTGTGTATGATGAATTTGAGTATAGAAGTGAGTATATAAGATATACGCTTGATGGTGCTTTGTGTTGTTGAATTTGGCTTCAGGTTGGAAGGATGCCAATGGAATGGGCAAAGATTGTGATTCCGCTTATGCACTCTGAAAAGGTTAAGGTTCGAGGTCGATGCATTGCCGCGCCAGATAAACTCCAAATGATGCAAGAGATTATGCTTTTAGTGAGGTATAGCCTTTATAGCTCTGTTTGTTGATATAGATAAGGTCAATAGAAGCTATTTTTGTATTCATTTGGATTTGTAAATTAAATTGTATTGCATCTGTTGGTAGGTGAATCTAATTGTTGAGTTTTTTGTTGCAGCTTTTATGTTCACCACTCTGTATTTTCTGACCGTGTTGACACCTCTTGGAGGCTAGATGCTTGTGGCAAAATTGATGATACTGTTTACCCACTTCTTGCCCTTCTAAAAATGCTAGAGATTAAGCCAAGTCAAAAGGTAATCGACGCTTCTCTCTATTTTTTGTTGTTTTTTATTGATGCGTTTGTAATCGGTGGTTGCTACATTCAACTAGGCTGAATTCACACCAGAGGATATAGATTCTCGAAAGCGATTGCTCTATCCAAAGGTACGTGCTGCTATTAATGTATTATAGAATTCATGCCGTTGTCTAGGATAGTGTATTGAATGCCATTATTGTGAATGTTACCTGACATTGTTAGCAATCAATTCGTGCAAAGATGCCTAATTTTGTTGTTAATGCAAACAGGCCGAGTCAGATGACGCTGCAGCACTGCCTTTGATCAAGCGAAGAAAGGGTGGTGAGCCTATTCCCGAGCAAAATAATGATGAACAAGCTCTTTCAGAGTCAGCTTTGAATAAAATTGTTGGAGCTGCCGAAATCTATGACCTAAAGGTATGGAACTTTGAATTGTTTAAGTCAAATGTTTTTGTATAAACTTATCTCTATCGTCACTTGGAATCAATTATTTTGCCTCTTGTATGTCTTTAGGAGAAGGAAGCCCCAAAGACGCTTATGTGTAATCTAAAGCCTTACCAGAAGCAAGCCTTGTATTGGATGGGTGAAATCGAGAAGGGAATGGATGTGGAGAACGCAGAAACAAATCTGCATCCCTGCTGGTCAGCCTACAATATTTGCAATGGGTAAAGTACTGCCAGAAAATGATTCAAAAAGCATAATTGCGGTTTTCTCCTCCTTATAAGTATGCATCCTAACTTCACTTGCTTTCTAGCAGAAGGACTATTTATGTCAATATATTTACCGGAGAAGCTTCAAATAAATTTCCCAAATCAACTGAGATGTCAAGAGGAGGAGTGAGCTTGTTTGAAACCATAAATTTTCTGAAGATTAAATCAGTTTTCCTTCTTGCAAAATTGGTTTTATTTATTTATTCATCTTTGGCTTTAGATTCTAGCGGATGCAATGGGACTTGGAAAGACCGTTATGACAATTGCTCTAATACTCAGTAAACCAGGCAGGGGCAACTCAGAAAACAAGGATGCAGGGAATGCATATGATAATATTATCGCAAATAAAAGAAGGAACGCTAACGCGATGCATAGAGTTGAAGGTGGCACTCTTATTGTGTGTCCCATGGCATTGTTAGGTCAATGGAAGGTGAGTTTCCTCTATATTATACCAAATCGAAAAGAAAATAAGCCTTTTCTTTTGATAATTTAAATGACAAACTATAATTGACACACTATAGTTGATAGTTTAAATGACTTAACAAGTATTTAAAATCATTTAAAATCCGCAGGATGAGCTTGAAACGCATTCAAAGCCCGGTAGTATATCCATATTTGTTCATTATGGTGGCGGAAGAACCAATGATCCCTTGTTGATCTCAGGGCATGATGTTGTCTTAACAACTTATGGTGTCCTATCAGCTGCATACAAAAATGTCAGAAAATATTCTTTTATATTTTCTTCTATTTATGTAGTGAAGATTCTTCATATTGGGTTCTCTGGCTTTTGAAACCAGGATGGAGATAATAGCATCTACCACAAGGTCCAGTGGTACAGGGTGGTGCTTGACGAAGCTCATAATATAAAGGCCCATAGAAGTCAGATTGCCCAGGCTGCTTTTACTCTGTCATCACACAGCCGCTGGTGTCTAACTGGAACACCGCTTCAGGTTTGTCTTTTTAATTTTCAGGCGAACATTATTTATATTCACATTATAATAGCAAGAGTAAACAGCACTACCCCACGTACAATGAAATTTGTATCTTTCTCAGATGAAAATGTTTCTTTCACCTGTAACTTGGTACTTCATTATTAGATTAAGGGGTTTTGTTTATTCAGAAGAAATTCACTTTTCAGCACTTTTTGTGAAATGTGATGTCTATTGCAGAATAGCTTGGAAGACCTGTACAGTCTCTTGTGTTTCTTGCGCGTTGAGCCTTGGTGCAACTTGGCATGGTATGGCACTAATGTGATGCAAACTTATATGTTGCTTGAGAAGAAAGTCCTTTATTCAGAGAATCAATATTTTGTTGTTGGAAACATCTGTACAGGTGGCAGAAGTTGATTCAAAGGCCTTATGAGAATGGTGATTCAAGATCCCTGAAGTTGGTCAAGGCCATTTTGAGGATGCAAATGCTAAGAAGAACAAAGGAATCCAAG